CTCTATAAACTGAGCACTTGGGCGGCCACCCAGGAGAGATTCAAGTGCTGCCCAGCTGATTAGCAGAGTGCCCACAGGCAGCAGCAGCATGTTCCTCCTGATGGTGCACCTCCACACATGCCTCAGTGCGCATAACAAAATTTATTCCCCACACGGATGAAAAAAGTAAAGGGAGCTTTGCTCCGCACCCGCCCACTGTACAAATTGTTCCACCCTCTCTCCTCCCCTCCCGCCCCCCGATGTCTGTTCTGACCAGCAGGAGGTGCACTACATGTCAGCACCTCCGGTATCCAATAACCAGCCCAAATCAGCAATGCCTTGTGGTGTCCTGGATTGTCCTGCTGCAAACTCGTTCACAAATGTGGCTTCAGTGGCGGATTTACAGCAGGTGTCAGCAGCTGCTGATCCAACGATCCAAAGCAGCGGAGCACGTACCACAAGCTTTCTTTGCTGCGCCCGAGGTCCAGTGGCCTTGTTGAATGTGCACAGTCGGTTTTAGACACATTTCTGGGGTCTGTGGAAGCGAAGGGCCTTTCTTAGAGCAGAGCACTGATGTGATGATTGGGCACGTGTACGGTAAATGTGGGGAACAGGGTTCCTTGCTCTGTTATTGATGGGAGTTTTAGACTTTGGACGGAGCCCTTTGGAAACTGTCTCTTCAGTGCTGGGGTAAGTGAAAATTAAAAGTTACTGGCGATCAGGGCAAACTCATCCCTGGTGTAACACCGCGGATGCAGACTTTTTTGTGAACTGGGATGAGATGCAAGCCTGATGGCTGGCATGACTGGGAATCATTAGAGACTCCTTAATGCCTTTGGTGTGTCCTCGCCAGCACAATCTCTGGAATTATATTTTGGCTGTAGATTCCTTGGCCACAATCCTTGGTCTTATCTCGTGCCCCACATCTTTGAGTAGTGGAGCGGTGCACGGTTACAAGAGGTGGCGTTTCTGTGACTGGAGAAGTGACCCCTATGCATCTTTCATGCATCCGTTTTTAAAGTGCTTTGGGATCCTCCCTAGGGTTGCCAGGTGTTTGGTTTTCACCCGGACAGTCCGTTTTTTCTGTCCCCCTGTCCAGTAAAAAAACAGAAAATACCGGACATGTAAAATGTCCGGTATTTTCTGTTCGTCCTGGATGGAAGTCTGGCAGGGTGAGGGGAAGTGAGAAGCGCGGGGATTCTTAAAGGGACAGTGACCTGCTTTTTTTTTTTTTTTTTTTTGGCCCAACAACTTTTGTCTCGTTTGTTTGTTTGTTTGTTTGTTTGTTTTCTTAATCAAGTTTTTTTCCTGCCATGTTCAGGCTTTTTGGAGAAAGCATCTGTTAAGCCTAATCTTCCCGGCTGAAAAGGTGGGTCTGAATAAAAGATTCGCATTGTTCATTCCCCTTTGGCATGGGTGAGCCTTCCCCTCGGGGTCTGAGAAACGGAGGCATAAAATATTCAAAGCCAGATGAAATAAAGCACACGAAGGCCGTTATTTTTAGCACAAATTAGAGGTTTCTGTACTGAATGGAAGACACAGTAACCTCCCCAAGGTCTGTCAAACTCGGGTCCTGACAAAAAAGCAAATAGCTGTGTCCATGTGAGCTCACAGCTTCTCTAGGAATCTGTCTCACAAGGTAGCCTTTCTGTAGCAATTAGATCTGGTCTGGTGTTTTTAATGGGAACAATTAGAGCTACTCAGAGAAAAGGCATTTTTAGGGAGGGTATCATGGGAAAATTGGATTTTCCCTCCCTTTTGGTTAAAAGACTCAACTTTGAAGTTTTGGTTTTAATCAAAATCTTTTTGCATGCTGGATTTGACAGAATTTTCTCTGGCAAGCAGACAGACATGTCTGTGAAAACGCCATGCCCCAGTGGTCTGTCAAAACAGCTTGGCTGGAAACCGCTTGGCCAGTCCTGGATCAGAGACCATCACTGTTGCCTTTTGTAATCAAACAGAGGAATTGTTGCGCCGTAAGGTTTTTGGTGGCGTGGTACGGATTTACTTATTTTGGGGAATGGGGTAGTGGCTTTTTAGGATCCCAAAGACATTCCTTTCCAGTTTGTCATAATGCAACGATGGAATAGAGTAATTTTGCTTTAATGGCATGTGCAGCGACTTAAATTATTTAGTGTGTGTGTGTGTGCGCGCGTGCGTGTATGTGCATACATAATTCTCACTGCAAAATTACTGACCAAGTTGTATTATTTTATAAACTACAATGGGTTTCCAACATCCGGACTGGTTAATAACTTTGAATAATAATTAAATCACACACTGCTTTAATACCATGTGCTACGACTTAAAAAGTTAAAAAAAAATAATTTTTTTTTGGTTGTTGTTGCCTTGTCAGTGCTGTTGCCATAAAAATTCTGTAGCCATTCAGGAAACATCGTGTTTATTTAGGGGCAGGGAGCGCATACGGGAGATTCCCCGCCCATTGTGAGACTAGTGATCTTTCTGCTCTTTCAGAGCAACGAAGGATGTGCAAGTGAATCAGATCGGACTGAATCCACAGCAAAGCTTTTCATGTGGGTATTGTATTGGCTTTTGCACCTAGGTGAAAAGAACCTCATTAAACAAATGATTGCATGTTGGGAGGAAAAAAACATTGATTCTTTTTCTCTTTCATGTCTATCAAGGGAGACAAAATGCTCGTAATCAATCTCTCTCTTTCTGTATACATTGTATAGAGAGGTGCTTTTGAAAAATCCACTCTTAAGTTGCATTGAAAGTCCATAAGATTTAGAAACATAAGTCATTTAGGCTCATTTCAAAATCCCACTCCTAGTACATTATCGACGTATCCTTAGAAACCTTCCTTTAAAACAGTTATACTCAGACCACAGTGGTTCAGGAGCCAAATTAGCAATCGACATTACCCAAAGGGGCTACTTCCGTGTGAATTCATTGTTTCATTTACTATTGATTCATATTTAAACAGTGTGACAGGGACAAGATTTAGTGTGTGTGCATATGAGGTGGTGTGTGTATATCATTCTCACAGCAAAATTACTGACCAGCTGGTATTATTTTATAAACTACAATTGGTTAAAAGCATCCAGATTGGTTAATAACTTTGAGTAATAATTAACTCACACGGCGCTTTAATAAAAAATGGAGAAATTGGAGAGGGTCCAGAGAAGAGCAACAAGAATGATTAAAGGTCTAGAGAACATGCCCTATCAAGGAAGGCTGAAAGAATTGGGTTTGTTTAGTTTAGAAAAGAGAAGATTGAGGGGCGACATGATAGCCGTTTTCGGGTATCTAAAAGGGTGTCATAAGGAGAAGGGAGAAAACTTGTTCATCTTGGCCTCTGAGGATAGAACAAGAAGCAATGGGCTTAAATTGCAGCAAGGGAGGTTTAGGTTGGACATTAGGAAAAAGTTCCTAACTGTCAGGGTAGTCAAACACTGGAATAAATTGCCCAGGGAGGTTGGGGAATCCCCGTCTCTGGAGATATTTAAGAGCAGGTTAGATAAATGTCTATCAGGGATGGTCTAGTCAGTACTTGGTCCTGCCATGAGGGCAGCGGACTGGACTCGATGACCTCTCGAGGTCCCTTCCAGTCCTAGTATTTTCTATGATATCATGTGCTGCAAAGAGCCATCGACCATCCATGAAAGAGCCCTTTGAGGCTCAGTCTGAGTATCACTGATTTAAAACATATTTTCATGTCTTCCTTAATGGCCATACACAAAAGCCAACTTATACTTTACATGCCGAGGTTACCAGACCAGAACATCTCCAGGGATCAAAGGAAAATAGCCTGCAACATGGGTTAGGTGTTGCGTATGCAAGGAAGACCAGGGAATGATTTTCTTATGGCTGGTCTGACTTGCTGAAAAATCTAAGTGGTGGCTCCATCTTCCTTCAATATATGGAGATAGTGTAGATCTCATAGAGCTGGACAGGACCTTGAGAGATCATCTAGTCCAGTCCCCTACCTGCACAGCAGGACCAAATACCATCCCTGACAAGATTTGCCCCAGATCCCTAAATGGCCCCCTCAGGGATAGAACTCACCACCCTGTGTGTAGCAGGCGAATGCTCAAACCACTGAGCTACCCCTCCTTATTCACATCTCTGTCCCACAATCTGTCCAATGCACGTCCACAGAACCACTGCCGATCAGGGCCACGCGGGACAGAGGCCCAAGTCCTCTTCTGAAATGAATGGAAGTTAGAATCCTAAATACCTTAAAGGTCTGGGCCCAACTCTCTTTCCTCTAGGCCAGTGGTTTTTAAATGTTTTTTTTTCTCGTGACCCAGTTGAAGAAAAGTATGGATGCTGCGACCCAACATAATTTGACGGGAATGCGGGCTCTGGGGTGGGGCGGAGGAGGAGCTTTGGGGTGTGGGAGGGGGCTCTGGTGTTGGGTGGGGCAGGAGAGGCTTACCTGGGCAGCAGTGCAGCGGGGGGACTAAGGCAGCTTCCTGCCTCTCCTGGCTCCTGCAGTTCCCAGCCAATCGAGTGCGGAGCTAGCGCTCAGGGCAGGGGCAGTGCACGGAGCCCTGTGCGCTCTCCCACACACACACCCAGGAGGGGGCCTGCTGCCGGCCGCTTCTGGGGTGCAGCGCAGTCTGCGGTGCCAGGCCAGGCAGGGAGCTGCCTTAGCGCCCCCTGCTGCTCACCTTCCCCCCCTGCAGCCACGAGACCCAGGGCCTGTGTGACGTCGTGGGGGTACTTGCTGGGCTGTGGTGACCTCTGCTGTCTGGAGCAAGACCCATCAGGGAAAACCTTATTATGCAAAGGTACCATACCGGTTGAACCAGCCTACCCCCCATGGGGAGAAACAAAGGGAGGTGGAATGCTGCCCTGGCTGGGGGCAGGGCTGGGAGAGGTAGAGTTAGTTCCTGTCTGGAAAGCAGGGGAGAAGGAGCTGGGGAGGGGGCTGGGACTCCCCTATCTCAAGGGGAGCACTGAGGCCTCTGAGCCCCAGTTCCTGTAACCAGATTACATCTGTGCTATGCTGTATCCTGGAGGAGCAATAAACCACCCTCAATTCCACTGGCTGGTGCAGTCTGTTTGTGCCATTTCGGGGTGCAGGAGACGGGGGACCCCCAACGCGCCGTCACAGCCCGACATTCCATGACCCGGTGCTGGGTCACGACCCATAGTTTGCAAACCGCTGCTCTAGGCCAAATTATCTCTTGAATTAAATACCCAACGAGAGAAATTGGTTTCCTCTCCGCATGGGAACAATCTTCACCCGTGCGCTCTAAATAGCTCGTCAGGCGCCTGCAGGCTTGGTCTCACTCGAGGTGCAATGTCTTTCTGGGGTAGCACTCTCTCTGAGCCGCTGGCATTGGCACAGGACTTGTCCTTGTGGATTTATCTTCAGACGCTGAGATGCAGCCTCGTTTTGGTGGTTTCGCCTTCCCGCTGCGATGGTTTTTCAGTGGAGAAGCAGCCACGTCCGGCTGATGATTGTCGTCTTCGGATGTGGATTTAAGGCGTCTGGTGACAGGTTTTCCTTTCGCCACCTCAGCTCATTCAAGGGAATCGTGGGACTTACAACATGCCACCATTTTTGTGTATTTTCACAGAAGCTGGGACTTTTGGAGGCATCTGTCTCCTTCGAGAGTTTCTGGAAAACCCCACCGTTCGTGAAGAAGTAGGGATTGGATTCGCTCTGTTCTCTTTGTTGGGTTACATAGGATTTCTGCTGTCGTGTAGTAATCCCATTGTGTGTGCCTCAGTTTCTCAGGGCACTCCACCAATAGCTAGATGGGGATGGGAATTTCTGTGTGACAGCCTCCTGCCTGTACACAAAGGTGGATGCTTTGTGTAACCTGAGCCTGGGAGGGAGGTGTAACCAGGTGACACCTTTTATCTGGAAAGCTGGATGAAGGCCAGAGGCGGGGCTGGCTACAGAGGGAACTGGGTTGCTGGGTGTGTGTGAGTGAGTCTCGCTGGCTTAGGATGGTGAATCGGGGCCCTTGGCTCTGAACCTCCCCTTCCCAAGATGGACGGTGCTGATTGCTTCTGGTTTTTGTGCTGACAAGTCTGTTCTACGCCATGTCCCTGTCAACTAATAAACCTTCTGTTCTCCCTACTGGCTGACAGTCCCGTCTGACTCCCCACCCCGCGGCCACACCACAAACACACTGAATCCCCATTGGCTAAGTCAGCACCCCCTTCTGCTTTCCTTCTGGGGTAACCTTGTCGCCAACACAAGTTTGCTGCTATAACAAAGAGTGGCTATTGGAGACGATTTAGGGAAGACGGATCCTAAATGACAGAGGTGAGGGTTCGCACAGGAAACGTCATCCAATCACAGAACAGCAGCTATTCCATGGGTCCAGACAAAACCGGCTGAATTTTGGGTATCCAACACTCAGCCAGCTGCTTTCAAACATTTTGGAGATACAGAGAATTAGTTGGTGAATAACAGGCAAATTAGAGAACTTTCGGAGATGCTCGTGGACAGTTCGCTGAATAAATGATTCACTGTGAATCACATGGCCCTGGGTGTTTTCAGCACAGCTACCGACTGACGCCGGGGAGGCCACGCCATGGGAGGAGGGGCTGTTTGCGAACCTCCTGCCAGTCTAAGAGGACAGCCGGTTGCAAGGTGAGCTGTGTTCTTGTTACAGACAGCTTATGTATGGAGCTGTGTCCTCCGCGGAGCGTCACTGTTTCGAAAAGGGCAGCAGGGGCCGAGTGTAAACGCTGTCAAATCTGACCGCCTCGTCCCTCCCGGCTCAGTGCTCTGGTTTTAGTCACCCTCACTCCGGTAAGCCAGTTGCAACAGAGTCAGGATGATTCTCTTGTACTCTTTCCTGAAGTTGCGGTTCATGGCCCCATACACCACAGCGTTCAGACAGCTGTTGAAGTAGGCCATGAAGTAGCTGGCGGTGAAGAGCCATTCGGGTATGGAAGAACCCAGCGTGGGCTCGAGCGCCACGGCGAAGCCGATGAAGTTTAACGGCGCCCAGCACACAGCAAAGAGCACAAAGACCATGAACATGGTCAGGAAGTTCCAGAAATCGTGAGACTTGATTCTCGGCTGCAGGTCCGGCTTGACCCTCCGCCGCACCTGGAGGACCAGCACCCAGATCTTCAGGTAGCAGTAGCTGACGATGGTGATGGGCAGGAAGAAGTGGATCACCACCACGGCGATGGTGTAGAGGGTGCTGACGGACTGGGCGAAAGTGCAGGAGTACACCCGCGGGTCGTACTGCAGGGACCCCACAAAGAGGTTGGGCACGATGGCCAGCAAGGTGAGCGCCCAGACCAGCCCCACGTAGCACACGGTGTTGGTGCCCGAGAACAGCTTGTGGTACTTCAGGCTGTGGCAGATGTAGCAGTAGCGGTTGATGGCGATGCCCGTGATGTTGAAGATGGAGCCGATCACGCTGATGCCCATCAGGAAGCCGCTGACCTGGCAGTGAAGGTTCCCCATCACCCAGCCGTCGTGGAAAATCGCCATCAGGACGAGGGGGTAGGGGTAAAAAGCCACGAGCAAGTCTGCAACGGCCAAGCTCACCACAAAGGCATTGCCTGGGGAGGGTAGCACACACAGAAAAAACCCCGTTAGAAGAACCCAGGATGGGAATGCAACAATGTCCAGGAAACCAAGACCTCCTTGCAAAATAGATCAGTTCCTGTGCCTGTTCCACAGGCCTCCGCTTGCTTTACGGTCTTGTTACTTCTCTTTGCATGGCAGGGGCGGCTCTGGGGGAGGGAGCTGGATTTTCTTCTGGCTCATGCATCACTCTAGGGCCACTTTAACTATCACGACCGCTTCTTTTCACTGCTGCCTTGTGCCCCCATCCCTATTCGTCTGTTTATCCCCTTAAGAACATAAGAACGGCCACACTGGGTCAGAGCAAAGCTCCATCTAGCCCAGTATCCTGTCTGCCGAGAGTGGCCAATGCCAGATGCCCTGGAGGGAGTGAACAGAAACAGGGAATCAACATGTGATCCCTCTCCTGTCATCCATTGCCAACTTCTGACAGAGGCTAGAGACACCATTCCTACCCATCCTGGCTTGTAGCCATGGATGGACCTGTCCTCCATGAATTAATCTAACTCTTTTTGGAACCCTGTTAAAGTCCTGGCCTTCACAACATCCTCTGGCAAGGAGTTCCACAGGTTGGCTGTGCGCTGCGTGAAGAAAAACTTCCTTGTGTTTGTTTTAAACCTGCTACCTATTAATTTCATGTGGTGACCCCTAGTTCTTATGGCGTCTTCTTGTCACTATCTTAAATGTGTGGCGCTCTGGGGCAGAAACCATCTTATTCTGTTTGTACCACATCTAGCACAATGGATCCTTGACTCCCTAACGGGAGCCTTCCGCTATTTAAATTATATTGCCGTTGAGTATCCATCTAATAGATTTCTCCTCCCACGCCCTTAGGAGGCAGGGCGGTGCTATTAGTACAGGTAGGGGCTGAGGTCCAGATGGGCTAGTGGCAAAAAAAATTTTTTTTTTTTCAAAAATGAAACCCACTTTTGAAAATTGGGCAGGGAGTGATTTGCCCAAAGTTGCACAAAACATCTGTGGGAGAGCCGGGCATCTACCCTGGGCCTCCCTGGGTACGGACTCTTGTGAGTAATCGCGACTCGCTCATTTCCATTGAAGTAAGAGAACTTTGGGCCAAGTCTGAGATGCAGACTCTCCATCGGCATGAGCTGCGACACTCCCAGCGCCAGACTGCCTTTGCGGGCAGCGTTTTGACTTGGACCTCCCCCTGGATTCGTGAAATCCCCCGGCGCCCACGGGGAAGGGAAGCCGGAGGGCTGTGTTGCAGTTCTTTGGCCTGCAGGGAAGTGCTCTCTGCAGAGCTGATGGGAATTCACACCCCCAAAGAGGAGAAAGAGGACTCCCAATCTGCCTGGGGAGTGTGCGGCGCTTACAAGCACCACCTGCTCCTGGCAGGATGGGAGGAGACTTCACGTGCTCCCCCAGACCTGATTGGCCTGGGAGCAGAAGGGGGAGCACACAAAGTCTCCCACCCCCAGGGCATGGGCACCTAGGGGAAACTTAGGGGAGGGAGCAAAGACTTCACGTGCTCCCCCACCCCCAGGACAATCAGGGTCTGGAGGCAGGCGAGCACGGAAGTGTCCTGGCTCTGCCTCTTCTGCCCAAGGCCCTGCCCCATCTGGGGTGGCCCAAAGCCACTTCAAAAATTAGTGAAGTAGTGAGGCCCCACCCTTTCTGGAGCACTTCACAAATGTCTGAAGTGGCCGTTGGTAAAAGAATGATTGCCCACCCTGCCCTAGCTCCTCAGTGTTTTTTCACGTAGGGGATTTTTCCTCCTTCCCCTGAGGAGAGATGGGGGATTTTTCCCTCTTTGGAGCAGCTTTGGGGGAACGGGAAGGGGTGGTGCCGAGAATTCGGCCTCGGGTGAAAGGCAGAAAGGGCCATGGAACTGCGGGAGGGAAGAGGCAGGGAGCTTCCAAGGCTGACTAGATTTGTCCCCTCTCTCCCTCACAGAGCGCAGGCCAGGGCTTTACACCACGTCTCCGGGGAGAGCAAACGCAGCCGAGGCGCGTAGCCGAGGCCGACGCAGATGGGAGCCGCTGCGTTGAATGCACCGGCTCCGTTGGAGCTGGCTGCGCTCCGTGGCCCTAGCCTGGCTCTGCTCCAGCAGGGCTGTGGAACTGGCCACTCCTGCCCGGGGTAGGGGGTTGGTGACGCTCGTCTGCTAGGATGGGCTCTAGAGTTTAAAATCCGTCCGCCTGTGCTGACAGCCATGGTCCTGCCTTTGCGCTTCTCGGCCTCCTTTTGAGGTGTCTCGGCTCTGCAGGGCCAGATCAAACCTGGCTCTCGATGGCACCGCTCCGGCCCGGCTATGGGCTTAGCAGTTAGGCCGCGACTGTACAGGCAGCAGACGCGAAGCAGCGCTTAGGAGCTTCCCCCCGAAGGGCCGGGCAGGGGCGCAGGAGTCTATCGGAGTCCTCTGTCTGCTCTCCTAGCCCCTCCTCCCTTTCGGCTTTTCCCTGCAGTGAGGTCCGAATGCCAGGACGCTGGGGGTCCGTCCCCGGACACCGCCTGTGCTCCAATGCTGGCATAGCGGACTGGCCTTGGGCAGGCTCTCTGCCCTTGCGGGATTGGTCATGCCAATGCAGTTCTGTCGCCCTGGAGCAGGGCATCCCGATGCAAAGAGTGGGAGGTCCAAAGGACCCCATTGGCCCTGCACAGCGAGGGAGCGACCAGGGGGTGGCCCCTAGAAATGGAGGCATGGCCAGCCGTCATAGAACAGGACTGGGCGCCTGGGTTCCACTCCTGACTTTTGTCTTGCAGACCCGAGATTTCGAAAGTGGCTGCCCTGTGGTCCCTCCATTCTGGGGGTGGGGAAAAGGCAGCCTGCTCTAAGAGGCATGGCCAGTGACCCCATAGAGGTCACTGGGGTTTGTGGCTACTCAGCACCTTTGTAAATCAGGCCCACTCTGTCTCCTGTTAGACCCCCCCCCCAAACCTAGCAGATGCCCTTGTTGTGCCTCAGTTTCCCCAACTTACAACCATTTCCTCTGGGCATTGTGGGTCAGACTCAGTGAGCTGCTATTTGTAAAATGCTTTGGGATCCAGTGCTGCAGCCGGACCCATGACTCTTACATGACACGACTGATGTGCTTTCCAGAGATGATCGCTAATAATTAGCCTCCAAGACTTGAAACCTGGGTTTACTACAGGCCAGGGAACACGAAAAACCTTCTAGCTGCGTTTAAAAGGCTCAGAGGTGTTAGTCGGAAACTTTAAAACCAATGAGTAGTCCTGTGGCTCCTTATAGACTTATATATCATGAGGTTCCTCTGATAAGAAGAGCTATGCAGGGCTTGCAAACAAAGCGTAAGATAAGAACATAAGAATGGCCACACTGGGTCAGACCAAAGGTCCATCCAGCCCAGTAGCCTGTCTGCCGACAGTGGCCAATGCCAGATGCCTCAGAGGGAGTGAATCAAACAGGTAGATCAAGCGATCTCTCTCCTGCCATCCATCTCCACCCTCTGACAAACAGAGGCTGGGGACACCTTTCCTTACCAGTCCTGGTTAATAGCCATTAATGGACTTAACCTCCATGAATGTATCCAGTTCTCTTTTAAACCCTGTTATAGTCCTACCCTTCACAACCTCCTCAGGCAAGGAGTTCCACAGGTTGACTATGCGCGGTGTGAAGAAGAACTTCCTTTTATTTGTTTTAAACCTGCTGCCCATTCATTTCATTTGTTGGCCCCTAGTTCTTATATTATGGGAACAAGTAAATAACTTTTCCTTATTCACTTTCTCCGCACCACTCATGATTTCATAGACCTCTATCATATCCCCCCTTCGTCTCCTCTTTTCCAAGCTGCAAAGTCCCAGTCTCTTTAATCTCTCCTCAAATGGGACCCGTTCCAAACCCCTCATCATTTTAGTTGCCCTTCTCTGAACCTTTTCTAATGCCAGTATATCTTTTGAGTTGAGGAGACCACATCTGTACACAGTACTCAAGATGTGGGCGTACCATGGATTTATACAAGGGCAATAAGATATTCTCCGTCCTATTCTCTATCCCTTTTTTAATGATTCTTAACATCCTGTTTACTTTTTTGACTACTGCTGCAAACTACGTGGACGTCTTCAAAGAACTATCCATGATGACGCCAAGATCTCTTTCCTGATTAGCTGTAGCGAAATTAGCCCCCATCATATTATATGTACAGTTGGGGTTATTTTTTTCCAATGTGCATTACTTTACATTTATCCACATTAAATTTCATTTGCCAGCAAAAGTCTCTGCTGTGTTACAGTAGAAACAGCCTAAAGCTGTGAATTTCTGATAACTTTCATAGTGCACAGAGCAGACCACAACTCAAAACAGCTGAATTGTAGCTGCTGCCTGTATCAGCCTGTGCAAATGGGAGATAGCTGTTTAATTCGTACCATTCGTTTTGTGCCCTGTTCTCCCCTGGCACTTTACAAAAGCCTCCGAGAAGCTAGCAGGGGCAGTCCTCCAAACACCGTCACTGAGCTAAGAAAGACTCCAAACCCCCCAGGGAAGTTGGCCAGAATTCCCCTGGAGAGGAGGGTGATGAGCGCTGAAGCCAGCTGGGGGAATTGGGGTCAAGGTTTTCAGAAGTGACAAGTGATTTGGGGTGTTTCAGTTTTGGGGCTGCCCCCAGCTGAGACACCTTCAAAGGGGCTTTCAAAAGCACCGAGTCCCCACATTCTGAACAATTGGGCCCTTTTTGAGGGCGTTCCAAGGCAAGTGGCCAAAATCACTAGTCACTTTGGAAAGTCTCGGCCGTGGCTCTATAAGCCAGTGGGGGGCATCCTGTGGCCCATCGAGGTTCGGTGTGCGGCTCGCCAGGCATTTTGTTTGCCATTGGCCATGTGCAGGGCCCCCGGATTCTGCTGGTTTCCATTCACATAGGTTTTTTCCCCACCAGTATAACTGTTGTGACAGGCACGTAAAGCCAGGGCACGTGAAGTGAGGTGCCGGCTGGCTGCACGCAGTGCTGGCTGGGAGAGCCGCACGCTCCCTCTGAGCCGTAGCAGCGCTCTGCGTGCGTGCAATCGGCACACCCCGCAAACTCTAGGGATGCAAGTGCAGGGAGCAAAATGTCTCTATTCCCGGAGACTGGCTTGGTTCGACAATCTTCTAGCTCACTGAGATGGAGGAGGCCTACTCACTAGCCTAGGTGGCCCAGGGGTGCAATGTGTCTTGGGCGTGGAAGTCAGGACCCAGCGACCTGGATCTGTGTGGACAGTGGCATTTCCCCTGGGGAGCCTGGGGGACTCGCCTTTCCAGGGCCTGGTTTGCAGCCACTACTAGAAACGTGCCTGGAACCCCAGCTGGGTAGGATGGGAGAACTTTACCCTCCTAGGCAGCCCCACACCCTGCAGCCCCACATGCAAGTGGATCCTGCTAGCTCTGGGATGCAGCTGGCCCTGAGCCCTGCGGAGAGCAAAGAGCTGCTCCTGCCAGGTCCCCCGCGTCCTAGCAAGGCCAGTACCTGCTTTTCTCAGGTTCTTGTTCCTGAAGACGGAGAGGATCACCAGGAGGTTGCCCAGGATGTCCACTGCGATGGTGACGATGAGGATGATAGCCAGCATGGTCACCATCCCGGAGGGGTAAAGCCCGTCCTGCCTTCCCGAGCCAGCAGACAGGTTCTTCAGCAGAGGACCGGCCTCCTCCATCCTCTGGCATCTACCCTGCCAGGCAGGGCGGAACAGAGCAGAGGCCTCAGCCGCAGGGCTAGCAGCTTATGTAACCCACACACCTAGTGTGGGTCACTGTCTCATACAGTGGCACTTAGTTAAGAACCAGAGACCTCTACAGCCAGGGTGATGAGCAGCTGGCTTTTAGCTCAAGGTAGAGGTGCCTAGCACCAGAGGTCCGGGGTTCAAATCCTCCAGAGGCCAAGAGGTCAGAGCTCAAGGAAGCCAAGGGGTGGGTGTGGCCACTCAAAGCACCAGGCATGGCGAAGGGGCCCCTGGAGGGGCAGGTTCTTAGAAGTTGGCTCTCTCCCTCCTCCGGGGGAACAGGGTCACTTTTCTCTCGCCTTCCTCCCGGGATTCGCACTGGGGAGGGGAGCTGCGAATTGCGCACACGCGTGTCCCCCTCTCCCCAGCGCTGGGGCTGCTCCGTGGGGCGCACGAGGGCTGCTCCCCACCCAGGTCAAGGGGGCTCTGTGGCGCTGGCTGGGGAGCCCCCACGGGCAGCGCTCCCTCCTCCGGGGGAACAGGGTCACTTTTCTCTCGCCTTCCTCCCGGGATTCGCACTGGGGAGGGGAGCTGCGAATTGCGCACACGCGTGTCCCCCTCTCCCCAGCGCTGGGGCTGCTCCGTGGGGCGCACGAGGGCTGCTCCCCACCCAGGTCAAGGGGGCTCTGTGGCGCTGGCTGGGGAGCCCCCACGGGCAGCGCTCGGAGCCGGGGGGGGCTCC